TTGTGCAAAACTACGAGCCGGGTGATGAGATCTTCTGCTTCGGATTTTCGAGAGGAGCTTATACCGCACGTGCGGTTGCCGGGCTGGTCTCGGATATTGGTGTGATTGCACCGGTCAACATGCAGTTCTTCCCGGAGCTGTATCGTCTGTATCAAAGAAACGAAGAGGGTGTTGAGTTCCGGGAGACGAATGAATACAGATGGTTCACCAAGGGCAAGCTCAGCGAGAAGGGTCTACGGATGGAGAAAGAGGGCGTGGATGTCAGGAACATCGACTGGCATGATCTCAAACTGCTGGCGGAAGTATGGGATATTCGACCGCATGGTGAGCTTGCTGTTAGCGAGGGTAGCAGGAAGGTGAAGGTGGTTGGTGTGTGGGACACTGTCGGCTCGTTGGGTGTACCTGATCTTATTGGTATTGATCTGGCGTGGTCGAGGACGAAGTATGGATTTCACAACGTCGAGCTGACGGAGAGTGAGTTTTGACGGTGTCGAAACGTGTGATTCTGGCTAATGATTTGTAGATATCGAGCATGCATTCCAGGCCTTGGCTCTGGATGAGCGTCGGAAGGCTTTCCGCCCTACTCTCTGGTACATTCCCAAAGATCTGGTCGACGATCCCAACAGACCAACACCTGAGCTGAAGCAGGTTTGGTTTCCTGGTGTTCATACAAATATCGGCGGTGGTTCACAAGACGCTTTCGGTGATATGAAGGGAGATTCGGAAAACATCTCTACAGCAACCCTCTGCTGGATGCTTCAAGTCATCTCGCCTCATCTTACCATCGATCGCCATGCCTTCCAGCTGTCCATGGATCAGTACACGCGCTGGCTGTTTCGCCTCCGCTTCGCATGCACCTATCACCACCAGAACTTCCTTCAAAAAGCGTGGAACCTGCTCCCAAAGATCTCCATTCCCGGCATTGGTCACGATACACTCAAACCTCCGCCGCGCTCTCCACCCCACTCGCACACCAATTTCGACTTTAGCTGGGGTACCGGTCCCCTCGTCGACTCTTATAGTGGCATATACTACTTCATCGGATCTTGGCAACGCATGCCCGGCCACGAAGAAGTCGAGTGTTACAACGAAGACACCAAAGCGCCGAAGTGGACCAAACTGCGCGACCTGGGCGACACCAACGAATACATCCACCCCATCGCCTACTACCGCCATCTCGTCCGCGGATGGGACAAGCACTCTCCGCTGAAACACAACTGGAACCGCGGTAATTGGCGTACAAAAGAGGATGATACAGCGAAGTTTTGGTGGTACAAGGACAATGAGCAAGAGAAAGGCGCGATACCTGAGTGGATCATGATGCCGGATGGTCCCGCGGACGAGTACAATTACGAGAGGATGTGGTATAATAAGTGTGAGGAGGTTGCGGGCATAATGGATAAGAGTGTTGGAAAGGAAGAGTTCCGCGGCAAAGGGTTCTTGGAGAACTTGGACAAGGAGATTGACCTGGGTGTTGATGGGATGCCGAAGGATGTCGCGCCTTGAGAGGGAGGTCACGTCAACTTAGGGGAAACCTGAACACCCTAGAGTCTACATCGACGTTGGGCTACCTACTTTGCGTACTTTTACCATGATTTAGTCTGCAAGCCTGTTCATAATTTTCATTGTAGAAGGTAGAGTCCTTGGATACAGGGATCAAACTCAAGGGTGTTGCCGCATACACTGGGATGATATCAGAGGATTGGAAAATCTGGCGTCGATGTATGCTGTACGGTGTTTAGATTTCGGCCTGATTAAGATGTTGTGGTAGATGAGGTAGTTAGTAATGCAGCTAAATTAGTAATTAGCGGGAGGTTATCTTTCTGAGGAGCTGGTCTCTTATGACGACGTGCTCAATTCCTTGTGGTAGACGGGTACAATACTGTTGAGGGAAACATCTAAACACTTATGTCGCCAGCCCAACTGATCTTGACCAGACCTACACATACGTGCGACTGACCTGATAATATAGGTAGGAAATGCCGAAGTTACCTCTAAAAACCTCAAGAAACAAGTCTCTTCGGGTACTGGACGTAGAGGCGGTCCACGGCAGAGTATCACAGGTGAAAGCAAGGTACGGAGGTTGAACCTTGGCTGCATAGACAAAATGCAAGACAATGCAAGCAGCGTTTGTGTGTATCTTCACCCCTTTTAAGTAACTTCATCCTAGTTTCTTAGACAAGATAGATTCGCAAGATCCACATAACTCTTGCGATAGCATGCTATAAACTGCACAAATAGAAATAAGAGGCAGGAAAAACAGCAAAAAAAGAAGTTGTAATGGACGGGTGGGTGATGTGGGATGGGTTAGGGAATGGGCTCGACATGTAGAGTGGATTCAATTCGCCTAGGTGATATACCGAAAACCTCCAGGGGACGTTGAGGGTGGCTGTAGACACAGGAACTTTGTAGTATCTCTTCTATACTCAGCATAGCATGTTAGACCTTCAAAAAAGAGTTACAGGGGGCATCAAGGGGCCAAAAAATGGACGGACGGGTGATCGAAACCCGGACCTCTCGCATGTTGTTGAAGACTTCTGCACTAGGCTTAGCGCTAAAATCCTTGCAAAGCGAGCGCTCTACCACTGAGCCATACGCCCGAGATGTATTGAGTCTCTTGGAGACGTTGATGGGAAATTTTCGTGAAGTTTGGATAATATTTCAAGATTCTTAGGCAATGCGACGCTAGCGCCCGCTTCGGGTTAGCCGCACGTGGATCTTCCCGACCACGTTCCGCAGGCGATCGAAAGCGTGCAACTGCCAGGGTTCACAGCCACGCCTTGGCGCAACCCGGAACCTCGTCGTCAGCACCAACACACCCACATCCTATCACAGTAAACAACACGTCTTCACTATCGTTCCGCACCGATCACCTCCTCATCACCCAAACATAAGCTCCGTACTATTGCGACACTCGACAATTCGAATTGACCGCGCGTCTATCTCGGCACCGCCTTCACGCAAGCTGTCGATAGCTTCGCAAACAAAACAAATCGCACTCGCAACGGAAACCGCCACGATGGGATCCTTAGGCACATATTTCCTAGATGTCGTCTATTCCTTTACAAATTGCATGGTCTGCTTTCCAAGCTCACCACAATTGAAGATCAACAGTCGGAGTTTCAAGATATTACGGCTGCTGGGCGAGGTAAGCTGAGCTACATACAATGGACCGCATTCAGTCAACTAATCGCGACACAGGGTGGCTTCTCATATGTATACCTCGTACAAGACAACTCGAATCAACAACTCCTCGCACTCAAGAAGATTAGATGTCCCTTCGGCCAAGAAAGCGTGAGCCTGGCGCTCAAGGAAGTCGAGGCCTACACACTCTTCTCGCCGCACCCCAACATCATAAACTCAATCGACTACTCCGTTGAAACCGACAAATCAGACTCATCCGCGAAGACCGTATACATCCTCCTACCATACTACCGTCGCGGCAACCTACAAGACATGATCAACGCGAACCTGGTCAACCACACAAAGTTCCCTGAGCGAAGACTCATGGTGTTGTTCCTGGGTGTCTGCAAAGCGCTAAAGGCAATGCATCAGTACAAGATCAAGGGGGGACCCGGCGGCGCGAAGAGTGAAGGCAAGGCGAAGAAGGTCCGGAGGGACGCGAAGAGGGCAGACGCGGAAGCTGCGGAGACAATGGAGATGCGCCCGAGCAGGCGGAATCGCGATCATGACGAGGACGACGAGCAAGAGGCAGAAGGACTGCTAGAGGAGTCAGAAGTCACAGCGGCGCACGAAGGCATTGCGCCTGGTGGGGAGAGGGCGTACGCGCACAGAGATATCAAACCTGGTATGCACTGCATTCATCTCATGGTTGCCCATTCTACAGACTAACACGCGTAGGAAACATCATGATAGACGACGACGGCCAGACACCAATCCTCATGGACCTCGGCTCCCTCGCACCGTCCCCAACACCCGTAACGTCGCGCTCCCTCGCACTACAAATCCAAGACACCGCCGCCGAACACTCCACCATGCCATATCGCGCCCCCGAACTCTTCGACGTCAAGACCGGCTCTGTTATCGACACCAAGGTGGACATCTGGTCGCTCGGTTGCACTCTTTACGCCTGCTTAGTCGGCAAGAGCCCCTTCGAGGCTAGGTCAGATGAGACGGGTGGTAGTCTGAGCATATGTGTCTTGGGTGGTGACTGGAGATTTCCAGACGAGGGTATGCAGAGGGGCAAGCAGAAGGCGAACCCCGAAGATGCTATCACAGACAGCGTCAAAGAGGTGGTGAGGAAGTGTTTGAGGCTGGAGCCGAGCGAGCGACCGGATGTTGATGAGCTCATTGAGATTGTGGAGGGCGTGCTGCGGGAGCTTCCTGAGGATGGCTCGGACGATTAAGTGATGCGGCATTCGCTCAAAGTGGTTTCTCCTCTGATGCGTGCTCGTACGCGTACACTTCTTTCCTACACGGCTTGAGTACTTCCAAAGAAGAATTGGGCTCTTCATTTTTCCATCCAGGCGAGCGTATCGATACGTTTCAATATACCCTTTCACGAGTTGATCTTGCCAACTCGCTTCCAGTCCCACCTCACACAAGGAAAGAACTGAAAAGGTACTCTGCCGTCTACGTTGGTGTAAGGGTTGAAGTTCACATGTTCTTCGGGGTAATGTAGACTTCTAGAAGGCAGTTGTTCAGTTTTTTTTTCATGTAGGAGGTGGTGCCACTCTGACTAGGCGCTATCCTTATATCACAGCGTGGTTTGCTCGATAAGCGCATGTTCTTAGTATTATGGAATATCTCTACAGATTGGCAGAAGAGTCGGTTAGGCGATCTTCGGAGTTACCACTTGTTGGCTGTTTTGGTGGCGGTGATGAAGTGCGCGTATTGGCTTACAGATCCATGCATTACTGCAACTGAACGCTAGCGCGACATCTGCACGCGGCTGTGCTGAGCACTTGTCCGACCCTTTAAGACCCAGCTCTCAGCCTGATGCTCGCGATGTCAGCTCCTTTCGCTTCCAAACGGCCGCCATGGAAGCCATTGCAGGACTTAGTCTTGCTGCCAACATCCTACAGCTTATAGACTTCACAGCGAAAGTCTTATCGACTGGAAACCAAATTCGCCAGGCAGGTTCTACCGTACAGAACTCGGAATTAGAACGGGTGGTTGGGGACGTCACGAATCTGAATGAACGCATTACATTATGGGCTCGTCCCAATCCGGCCATTTCAGGCCCATTGGCTCAGGGCAGCCAGGTGCGTTATCTGGATAGGTCTGCACGCTCACGACATCAGTCTTACATGTCTGTAGGCACTCGAGGATTTGGCTGCTGAGTGTACGAAGATTGCTCGGGAACTCATCGCCGAACTCGAGTCGTTGCGATGTTCCAAAGACGCGGCCAGATACAAAACGATTCTCATCGCCCTAAAAGCATCTTGGAATGCGGGAAAGATCGAAGATATCCAATCTCGACTTCGGATCATGCGTGAAGAGCTTCAATTCCGCATTCTGGTGTCCATCAGGGACGACCAATTGCAAGGTCTAGATGAATCGAGTCGGACGGCGATCCAGGGCATAGTGGAGAGTAACAAACAACTTGGCACGGCAATAACCTCACAAACCGAAAGGATTATACACCGACAAGAAGTCGACAGCTCTTTGGCATCGATACGTCACAAAGAGGTCTTACATACCATCGCCAATCAACGATTAGAAAAGTACAGCATCAAGGATGTCCCACGCGCAATCACGAATAAGCTATACTTCGCCCGGAAAGACGACAGGTACGATGATATCGTGACTGCGCATCAGAACACCTTCAACTGGGCACTGGAGAGTAGAGATTCCTCAAGCTGGCCAAGCCTCGCAGATTGGCTTCGTCAAGATGGTGGGGTGTATTGGATCAACGGCAAGGCCGGGTCCGGAAAATCAACGTTGATGAAGTATCTCTATCAAGATCCCCGGTTTATGGACTCGCTAAATCTCTGGGCTGGAGGCGATCGTCTCATAGTTGCTGACTTCTACTTTTGGAGTTCGGGTGCTGAGATCCAAAGGTCGCAAGAAGGCCTCTTTCGTTCACTACTTTGGCAAGTGCTCGATCAGAACATATCCTTAGCCTCTACGCTATTTGCGGAACAGTATCTCCTCGATGCTGAATGGGACGAATTCCCAACATTCCACCAGCTTCGGCGAGCATTTGGGAGGCTCACCAGTCACCCTCTTACATCCACGAAGATTGCAATAGTAGTCGACGGACTGGACGAATTCGATGCTCAACGTATCTCGATGACTGAGCTTGGCGAGATGTTCATCACTGCCACAAAAAATGGTAAAATCAAAGCCCTTCTGTCGAGCAGGCCCCTCACGGAGTTCACGGATTGTTTCGCTAGTCAGCCACAACTGCAGCTCGAGCAGCTCACTCATAACGATATCGCAAAGTATGTGGATGACAGCTTGTCCGTACATCCTCAGATAGTGTACCTGAAAGTCACTTACAAAGACGACACCAATGCCCTTGTGGAGGAGATCGTCAGCTCAGCCTCTGGCGTTTTCTTATGGGTCAGACTTGTAGTGAAATCTCTCCTCCAAGGTTTACAGAATGGCGACAAGATCGAAGACCTTCAATCACGACTCCAGGAATTACCGAAGGGTCTTGAAGCGCTTTTCGCCCACATGCTGAGTAATGTACCTCCCTTGTACAAGTCGCAAGCCGCATGCATATTTCAAATCCTTCGGTGCAACGACGAAGGCCACCAGCAGTCGTCTATAATGGGAAGAATTTCTGCAAGGCCACTGTCCGCTGTCAGATTGTCGTATGCAGAAGCCAAAACCAAGGAGATCATGAGTGCAGAAATCTGTCCCTTGTCAGATGAAGAACTCGAAAAGATCGAGATCACCACGGACCGTCGACTCAGAAGCCGTTGCGCAGGTCTCCTAGAGCTCCGGACGCGAGTCAAGTCCCAGAAAGAGCACACAGGTCGGGACGAATCACGCCAGGTAAAACAAATAAGCACCAAGGACGTTGTGTATCTTCACAGGACTGTTGCTGATTTTTTATACAAGAAAGAGGTCTGGGACGATCTGGTGACCCAAACAGAAGGACGGAAGTTTCACGCCTCCCTGGCTGTGTTACAATCATTGATCATGGAAGTCAAAAGAATCAATCTAGCATGGCAGCAACCTGCCGATCGCAAGGTTCCCTGGGGACTTGTGATAGATACACTGTTGTTCGCGCGACTTGCAGAATCGAATACCCAGATGAGCTCTCGGAAGCTCCTGGATGAGCTTGATAGAGCAATGACAACTTACTTCCCAAACAATGTAGGGGAATGGAAAGAGGAACGATACGAAGGGGCGACTTGGTGCGACACATGGGAGGAGGATTACTCGAGGCCTGCTCCCTGGCATGATAACTTCATGTCCCTGAACGTCAGATTCGGTTTGACTTTGTACGTCCAAGACACCGTCCGTGCAAAAGGCCAGCTTTGTTTGGACAAACGTGGTAGGCCACTGCTCGACTATGCGTGCAGACCTGAGCCGCAATATGGACACTGGTCAGACTTTAGTGACCCTGATCTCGTTCAGACTCTCTTGCTAAACGGTGCTGACCCGAACTTCAAATTCAACGGGTTCAGTGCCTGGCAAAATTGTCTTTTTACGCCGATCGAAAACCCCGTCAAATGGGTGTCCATACTGAAACTCTTACTTCTACATGGGGCGGATGCCAATGCACGCATCGAAACATATAAAGAAGGCAAGAAAACTGCACTGGTTGTCGTCCAGGCGAACTTCGATAAATTCTTGGCTGGGGATGTCGAGGCTACCAAGCGGATGAAGGAGCGCTTCGCGTCTCGTAGTGCAACAGTACCTTATTTTCCAGTGTCTGAGAAAACACTAGCTCAGCTGAAGTTGGATGTTATCGAGTTGAAGGAACTAATCACCAACCCTAGAGCAGTGCAAGGCAAGGTCGGAGACAGGAGTTCGAAGAAACTTGGTGAACGGGTGACGCGATTTGTAAAGCGTGTGTTTGGGAAAGGCAACAAATAGGGACTACGACTAGACATATTTCGACTGCAATGATTAAGTGGTTTTCATTACAGCCAATGTAACTATTGTTCAGATTCCGTCGTATGTATCAGAATGGTATTTCGGAAATCTCATAACGACGACGCGTGATGCAACGCACAGACCACACCTCAAAGCCCTGGAAGCTCTCTCAAGCTCCCCACCTCGCGACTCCGGAGACCCTACACCCACCATGTAGTCACCAGCAAATTTTGGCGGTAGAGCCTACAGATTTCAATGCCTACGCGCGCGATAAAAGCAATATTCTATACTCGCTTCCACCATGAGAAAGGTATTCCAAAGACAGCCGCGCCTTAGGAAACCCCGCTGACATCTTCTCCAGGGAATCGCGTCCTCCACCAGGTGCCCGCAGGCGCCATAATACCGTCCAACCTCCCGTCGGCGCTCCCCACACCACTGTTCACCTTTCCCTCGGTCACGCAATTCCTCATACCCACACAACAGTTCTGCGACCGCCTACTCACTTTCTGCATCAACCACAATCGCGTCATCGGATACCCTGTTTGCATAAGAGAAGGGAAATACAGTAGAAATGAATTCATATTCAACTTCGCGATCGTGATAGGCGAAAATGAGCGCGACTGGGCGTGCTACGGCGAAGTCGTGAGGAAGCTGGGACGCTTGTTGAGAGGCCTAGAAGAGCAGGGCGGATTCTTGTCCAGAGAAGAGGAGGGCGTTTGGGAAGATGAAGGAGGGAACGTCGGGTTTGGGCATGACGATGGCGTCGGCGGGTTCGGAATAGGGGGTGGAAGCAAGGTGTATGCACTGTGTGAGATGGTGCTTGAGGATTTAAATAACTACGCAGAGTGTATGATACCAATCGGTAAGTCATGCTTCGTACCAGACGGTAGTATGCGATATACTAACAAACCACCAGATGACTCGAATACGATCAACCTGAAGCTGTTCCCTACGCGACCGCCTCCTCCGCCTATCCTCGCGCATCAAGTGCCCTTGCTCACCATATCTCTGTCAAGTCTCCAGCAACCCGTATCCTCGGACCTCACTCTCAATCGCATACTACCATACATAAACGGTATCAACTCGATAGCCCATATAGCGCAACTGGCTGATACCGATCTCTCGTTGACAAGACGAGCCATTCAACATTTGGTATATTATGGATGTTTAATACTATTGGATATCTTCAGCTTCAGCGCCATATATGCGCCAACAGCAGAGATTGGTGATTTCATAATGGATGCAGAGGTTAAAGAGGAATGTATGCGCTACGTCAGCGTACCGAGAATGAGACTTGGTTCAAACGCAAAGACAGCTCGGATGGATAGCGAAGTTTCAGAGAAGAGTAGGGACGAGCGTAGTTCGACCTCGTCTTTGTCATCGCAGCAAAGCGAGACTGTCGGATCTACGCTTAGGGTCTCAGAGTTCGATAGTCACATCGCCGCTCAAAAGAAGGAAGAGGAGGAGGAGAACGTATGGCAGACGAGCCATGAGACGTTGATAACACTATACACATCGCTGCGACAAGGTCTCACTTTGAAGAACTGGGTGCTGGAGAATCTGGATCTTCTCACTGGCATCGACGTACGCCGCTTCATAACCTTCGGCATCATCAAGGGTTTCCTCTACCGTGTGCACAAGTACGCGATAGCGACCTCAACGACCCTACCACCCGCACCACCAACGAGTCTGCAAACAAGTGCCGCGACATCTCTCGCAAACCCCCGCGACTCAGACACCACCACAATTCGCGGCAACGAACGAGTACACCATTCCTCCCAACCAAGTATTCAGACCCACGGTCACCACACTTCCCAAGCCAATATCCACACACATCATCCATCCTTCTCGATTCACAGACCGAGCGTTGCCTCTGCGATGCCTGCGAACCACAATCATCTTCAACAACAGAACCCCCAACATCTCAGTGTTTCGAAGGGTGAAGAACACCAAACCCTCGAGGGCTTGGTGAGGGATAAGAGCGGGAGCGGGCTGCCTCTATTGAGGTTCCTAGATGGCATGCATTGTTTCGATGAGATATGTACGGAGTTGGGACTGCCCGAACGTGTTGTTGAGGGGAAGGTACGGGGTATGGGTGAAGGCGCTGGAGTCGTTGTTCATCGATAAAAAGACATGGCTTCGTCCCGGCTTTCAGATTGAAAAAGTGTTGACGAGAAGTATTTCGTCAAACCTGTGTATACTATGCCATAATCCCAATGCTTACATGATGCTGGCGCCAAATAATGCATCCACTAAACAAAACCCTGAGCTCAGTGCGGTGTTCGAAAACCAAATATCCTGCTACCCTTCTTCATGCACCCTGTTTGCCCCGTACCTCCAGTTTCCTAGGCTTCTTTTTCTCCTTCTTCTCCGCATCCGCACCACCATTCTCCTGGTTCGCCTTCCGCTGCTGCGCAAACTCATCTGCTGCACGTCTCAGCGCCTCAGGATCCGGTATGCCGTCCTCCTCCCCACCCATCTGATCTTGCATCTGCCCATCAACATCCTTCCCTTCCCCACCCTCTTCACCTTCCTTCTCCTTATCCTTCCCATCCTTCTTCCCACCCCCAAGCTTCACCCACGGCCCATGTACACCACCCACACCCGCTCCCACCAACGTGCCCACAGCCGTCGTAGGAATCGTAGCCACAGTCCCCACCAGCGTGCCTACCACCGTACCCAGTCCCGCTCCCACAGCCATACCAATACCACCGCCCCCTACACTACCCTGGAACGCGCCTGAACTGAGCACGCGTGCCTTCTTCGAGTTTCCATGCGCTTCAATCTCCTTGTTGTAGGCATCTTGCAGGTATTTGTTCCGTTTCTCAGGGTCCTTGATGGTTTCGGCGGCGGCACGTAGCGACGAGGCGGTTTTGGCGGAGGCGAGGGCGGACTCGGCGCTCGCGGCGGCTTCTTTGAGTTTGTCTTCTGGACTGTCGGACTTTGCGGCTATGCTCTTCAGCTCGTCTACGTCGGGGACTGAGGAGGGTGCTTGTTGGTTTAGTTTCTTGGGTGGCATGATGGATTGCTTTTCTTTCTTCTTTCAGTCGATTGGAGGTTTGTTGCTGAAGGAGGTGTTCGAAACGAACTTTCTTCGTGTGTGAGAGAGTGCCATGATGATGCGTGGTACGTAAAGACTCCTTTGGGCTTTGGTCGTATCCTTGGAGGTGCAAGTTCCCGTTATGACGTCATTTGTTCACGACTCCGCTCGTCGCAAAACCTGAAAGACCATGAGCACAGCGCGCTCCGAGGAGGCATCGATTTGTCAAACATGGAGGTCAGGGGTTAGCTTTGAAACGCAGTAGATTCATGTCTAGGGGTAGCTCGCTAATCGAGAGTTAGGGCCGCTTCACCATTCTATGGTTGATGATACCAAAGTCTATGATACATCCTCTATGAAACTCTATCGCTTACTCCCAGCTCAGGGTCCAGCTACCTTGCCAGGCTCCTCCACTGGTCAAATCATTCAAACCTGTAAGCTTCAGGACGCTGCTGGTAGAGTTGTACTCTACATTGCTTGCATCGATCGTCTCGCCGTTCAGCTTGACCTGTCCACAAGATGAAGCTCCCATGATAGTGACGTTGGCAAGCGCGTTCGTATCCTTGAATTCGCCCTGGACCTCAGCCTTTAGTTGTCCATCCATAGCAGCGAACGTAATATCCAGGCTCGACTCCGGCTCAAGAGATTCGCCATCGTCAATGTACAGGTTACCAGAAGCAGTACCATCAGTTGATAGAGCAACGATGAGACCCCATGGGTTTTTCCGGGACTCAGTAGTGGTGTAGCCAGGCTCTTGAGTTGGCAGTACTGCGCCACCGCGGACGTATACGGGAATGTGGCCCAGAGGAGCCGAAATGGTAGTGTTGACACCAGCTTCAGCCTGGACACGCTCGCCAGAGTACCAGTCGAACCAGCTCTCGCCGTCAACGATACCGGGGAAAACACCATTGACGGTGTCAACCTGAGGCTCAAGAACGGGAGTGACGAGGATGTTGGGTCCCAACATGAACTGTGTGTCGACGCCTGCGAGCTGTGGCTCGTTGGGGAACTCCCATGCGAGCGCACGCATCACGGTAGAACCAGTGGTGTGGGCGTCGTTGAAGAGAGTGTACATGTAGGGCAGCAGAGAGTATCGGATGTGCATGGCGGTCCTAGATGCAGAGGCTACGGCATCCCAGACGTAGGGCTCCTGTGGAATGGCAGAGAGCACGTTGTGGTTGCGGTAGAATGGGAAGAAAGCAGAGAGTTGCATCCAGCGGGCGCAAAGCTCCATGTCAGTGTTTCCGTTGAATCCACATGTGTCGACGCCGAACATGGGAATACCGAAGAGTGAGAAGGATAGAGCCTGGGGAATGGAGAAGAACATGTAAGCCCACTTGGACGCGTTGTCACCACCCCAGTGACCAGCCCACTTGCCGCTACCAGCGAATGTGGACCGTCCGATAATGAAGGGTCGCTTGCCAGGGAAGACCTCGAGAAGACCCTGGTAGGTGGCATTGATGATTTGGTGACCAAAGAGGTTGTGGACATCGTACTCTTCAACACCGTTCTCGTGTGTCGCGTTAGGGCTGACAGCGTGAACAGCAAGATCAGCTCCTCCCTGGACATGGTTGATGACGTATGGAGGGTAGTTGACGTTGCGCGAACCGGGCGTAGGCTCAGATCGGTAGTAGCTGGCAGTCGTAGAAACCTCTGCCGTGGGCTCTGCTGATAATGCGGCCTGGCTCGAGGCACCGGCTGAGGCTGAAGCGGCCTCGGTTGCGTTGGTGATGTTGAAGCCTTCGGGGAAGTCGTAGACGATGTTGCCTACCTCACCAGGAAGAGAGAAAGGTGGGTGAACAGGGTTCAGTGTAACGTTGCCAGTACCGCAGGAGCCAACACAGAATGAAGAGACTTCAGTCATGTCAACCCAGAAGCCGCTGAACGGCACTTCCTTGTACCACTCAACCATCTCCTTAACCCACCAGGCTACACCGTTGGAAGATAGCCAGTCGGGGAAGACAGTGTACCCAGGCCATACAGCGCCAATGTATTGGCTGCCATCGGGGTTCTTCAGGAAGACACCAGACTCGTTTCCGCGAGTGTAAGTGTCGTATGCGTCACTCGCGTTCTGCGGGTTCGGGATGTAGATTGCTGCATCTACGATGGGCACAAAGTGCTGGTTGTTTCCGTGCAGCCAGCCAAAGAAGTCCTTGACACCGGAGGGAGAGAAAGTCACGGGATCAAGAGTGAAGTCTCGGTATTGGTCCATGTAATCGATGTCGAGCCAAATAGTTTCTAGTCATAGTCAGCAAACATGCTCGAGCGACATAATGCGAAAAGAAGCTTACCCATAGGAATGTTGAATGCCCTCATAGTCTCAACAACCTCTCTGAGCTCTGTCCAGTTGCGGTAACCCCATCGGCACTGGTGGAAACCGAAGGTCCAGTATTGCTGCATGGCAGGCAGTCCAATCGCCGACTTCTGGTACTCCTTGGTTACCTCAGGCTGAGAAGGTCCGTCGTAGAAGAATAGATCAATTGCGCCTCCCAATGTTCTCCAAGAAAGATGGTCAGGCTTCATGACAACATCCATGCCGTGAGTGTTACGGTAGTATACACCATGAGAGAGAGACTCGTACTTCGATCCAGTTGGCTTGCTCTCGTAGCCAAAGTTGCTCTGCTGCATCTCGGACTGTTTAAGAGGGGTCCTGCTACCATTGCCACCCTTTTCGAAGTAGCGGGTTTCGAGGTAGAATGGGTGGCTACCATAAAGATTGCGGTCGATTGGGTCACCAACATCAGCAGCGTAGATGGTCGCGGTGAAGTTGTTGTTCAGGCGGAGGCCGTGGATGCGTTCTCCCAGACCGTAAAGGTTATAGTCTTCAGGCAGGCTGTTCACAAACTCGACAAACTGGTTCTCATAAATGAGGTGCGAGCCTTGAGTAGTGAAGATGACGTCTCCAGTAGAGCGACGGCCGACATTGAACCAGAAAGATGGCTCGTTGCCCCCTTGAAATCGCGTTAGCTGGGAATCCTCGGAACCTAACAAAATCCTTGTTGTAATTACTTACAATCAAATTTGAGGTCTGTGCCGTCCGATGAATCCTCGGCTTGCGGCCTTGGGATAAGATCTTCGGGAACAATCCATTGGGACTGGTTGCTAGCATCAAGATGTTTGGGGACAATGCTAACGGCCAGTCGCCCCTTGGCCTGGTATTCGACCTTCAGGTCTAGCTCCTCGATATCGGTACCGTAAGCATTGCAAGGTGCGCCAGCCAGTGTCAAGGTGGCGCTCAGGCCACGGTCGTTTTGTTCAAGACCGGACGCCTTGTAACCTGGGCAGACATCTTGTGCATCGACAGCTTGCGGATCGTAGATGTTGGGGATCTGCTCAACGCCTTGGTCTACTGAGGGAGGAAGAGTAAAGACAGGGCGGAATGAGGTAGGGGTGCCAGCCAGGGTCGTGCTCCAACCGCCGTCAGACGAGCTGATAGGTGTCTGGCCAGCTGTAAGCGACAGGAAAGAAGAGAGCAGCGTTGAAGCTTGAAGATAGCTTGAGCGCGACATGATCGATGTGCTGAACCAGTCGAGAGCTGCCTGAAGATCCTTTGGAGTCCATGGCGAACTGGTCCCTTTATAGCTTTCCGCATTGCTGTCCACTGCATTAGGCGCCATATTGGTTTGCTGCGTGAATCTGCGATTCCCCGCAGTGAAGGAACCTGCAATGACGCTGAGCAACAGGAACTGGACTCGAGGAGGCTGGGCGCCTGCATGCGCCATGCATAAGCGAGCTCCGTGCGGAGGATGATCATGGGGGAGCGCGCCGACATTGAGCGAATAGGAACGTGCGGAGACATGCAGTTCCGTCGATGTGTGGGGATCGTGAAGAAGACGGTCTTCTAGATTCTAAGCTTCGTGGCTTGAAGCTTGTGATAGCTCATAATGTCTGGCAGAAGCGACTCACCCGTGGGTACTTCCAGTGTAGGATGTACCCCAGCATGCGGTACAGCGCGACAATCCTGAAGGAAAAGAACGGATCCCTAAAGGAAAAGAAACGAATCATTGTCAAGTTTGGAGGGTTGGAAGTTGGTGTCGAGGTGTTGTCTTCGTTCATAGTTTCAATGTTTGGCACGGAAGTCATCGTGCCTGCTTCGACATGAACCGAATCAGTAGGTGCGACCCGGCGGAGGAAAATTGCTACGCATCTCCGAACGCCTTCATCGCGCTCTTGCTTCCTCGGTCCACGTGAACGTCCCAGTCCTCTTCCGAAGCTGACAAGAGCGCAGATTGTAGACGCGCCACGGAATGTATCTCGGTAGAGCCACTAAATCATACATGCACGGCACGATATGGCGGGTTCAACGTTCTGTACCTAGGTAGGCCACATGTCATGACAGTGGGGTCGGACGCAGATCTCCCCACAAGCACGGTTGCTGGTCACGAAGGAAGAAAGCTTATACACACAGCCATACTGTTATAAAATTGATATTGTGTTGTATTTCATTGATACTGTTTGTTTTACATTACGTTAGGGTATTAAAGTACAAGAATGTTAGACGTCGTTGTGACATTGCATCCGCTCTGCAGCATGATCCGTAGTATTTGCTCCTTGCTCGCATTGCATCATGGAGCTGCATGCAGTCCATGGCCTCGCGTGCCCTAGCGTTTTCCCGCGTGCTTCCTTCCCGTGCGTCGGAGTACAGGGCTGTCGCGCACGCCCTCGTTGGTCCAAAGTCGGGACACAGAAGTGGAGCGGCGGGTGTATTACACTGCGCGCAATGCGATCCTTCCTGAGGGTCTCGGCCCGTGGAGAATGAAGAATGTTGGTGCAGGCAGTACACGGCCCGCATGGGTAAGACTACAAAGCTCAGCGCGCCCCCAACATCATAGTTGGAATGACGGTAGGGCAGGTGGCTTCCGTAGCTCACGTCAAGGGTGAGTAGCTTGTAGGTCTGCTGTCCTCGCTAGGTCGATGGAAAGTCTTGTATTCGGCATATTCGTCGCCTTCTTCAGCAAGATACAGTCCATCGTCCGGGAGCCAGCTTCGCGAATCGTGCGTTGCTCGGGTTGCTGTGGTCATCGTAGAAGCCCGCGCGGAGGCTCGACGTGGGGCTGTTGGTGGTATAGGAGACTGCTGTCGCGGAGGGGTATAAACAGTTGGTGATAAACGAAAGTTCGGGTTCGTAGGACTGGGTAGTACCGTTGAACTTGGATGTAAAAGCAACCCTGATGCAGCAGGAGGTGCACCAGGTGAAAGTGGTTCTGGAATAAGACTCGAGTGTAGCATGGCGGACTGCGCCTTCTTTGGAGAAAGAGAAAGTGGTTTAGGGAATGTCGATTCTGTTGGTGTTCGCGCAGGGTTGCGCGAAGGAACGGTGGGTGTGTTCGGCTCGCCATTTGGTTGATCGCCTATGATATCCTGGTACCAGTCGTAGGAGCGAAAGCTGAAGCTTGGGCTTGGAGGTGGCAAGTCGGGTAATGGAAGTTGAGGGGGCTTGCTCTCCAGTTTAGAAAGAGTCTCTCTAACGGGGGAGGGTGGTTCGGAATCACCTCCGTTCGAACTGCCGTCGGCTATCGAGACACTGTCGGCAGAGTGTCTTTTGTTCGGTAATTGGCTCAGTTCGTATTCCGAGTTTCGCTTTTCCGCGGTAGGCGTGGCATGCGAGATGGATATCGATGGAGGAGCGGCTGTAGGCGGGATGTATTCCTCAAACTTGTATCGCGGCGCACGATCCCGGGTGGGAGTACCACTGCGAGGAGTATCATTACCCCGAAGCGAACTGACGGCATTGATCAACTCATCATCGAGTATCATGCTCTTGTTGATATTGACATTGACAGCATACGACTTCGCTTTCGTTGGCGGTGGAGGAAGGGGATGTTCCATGAGCGGATGAGGTGTTGGACGAGGTGGCAGTGCCTTTTCTGTTGAGCTTCGTGCGTGCTTCTCCATAGATCCTGACCTCTTGTTTTCCGGTTTCTCCTTCTTCTCATTGAATGCAAGAGCCCTGGCAAACAGCCCAGGGTCCATAGTCTGTTGTTGACTGAAGGCTGCGTTCTGGGGACTGTTTGGTAGTGATGCTACCAAGGTTCTCTGATCTGTGGCATTCGAGGCAGACCTTTGGCGAGTGTGTGAAGGCGCTTCGATCGTATGGGTGCGTGGCCGTCTTGCTCGAACCCTCCAGAACCAGTAACCAGCTGCAATCATCAACACCACCATTCCCACAACTCCTACACCGATGCCAATAGCCGACCCTGGAGTTAGTCGCGAAGTTGGCTCTGCGCCCGACCCGCCAAGCGGTGCAGCACCGCCCATGGTAACACATCTTGCGCTCGAGCATGCTTTGCCGCTTGCGCAGTCGCTATCTGTAGAGCATGTCTCGGTGGGTCCCTTGGAAGTGTCCACGAGGCTTGGCTGATTGAGTGAGTTGGTTACGATGGGAACAGGAGCATTCGTTCCAAGTTGGATGAAGGAGAAGTCTGATGCCAAGTTGGTAGGTAGTGCGGTTGGTGACGACGAGGCAATCCGTAATGATGTAGAAGTTGCGCTCGGTTTCCGTTGTTTGGTAGAAGTACCAGTGGCTCTTTGTGACGAAGTGGATGTAGCCGGCGCTCTTCGCGATGAGGTAGATGTAGTGCTTTGTGGTCGTCGGCGGGTAGTAATGAGTGTGGTAGACATTATTATTAAAGACTGTGTTGAAGCTGGTTATACTGATAAGGAGTGAGTGAACGACGCCGCGCCGATGCCTCAGCCACTTCGTCAGGATGCGCAGGCTTCTTTATGTGATACACCAAGTTCTCCGAAAAGAAAGCATATAGAACGAATGTAGTGTGTATGAAGGATAGTAGTAGGTGCTCACAAAGTCACGAAGATCCGCGATCGACAGAGTCCTTGCGACACAACATCGCCATGCAGGGCGGCACGGGTTAGACCATATCTTGTAGGGTCCGGCAGAAGAGCGTGGAGCTAAAGTTTATTGACGATGCACGCACGGTGCGGGCGATCCACGTTCGGTTGGAGGTTTGACGATCCTTAGTGCGCAACCCAACGTCGCACCCGTCAAACCTTGTCCCCAAACATTGCTTTTGCCGCGACAGTTGACAGTGTGTGTGTGAGCAATAAAGGTATATCACGACAGCGGAAAATACCGTAGTGCTGATCGAGAGAAACTGACCCCCCAGCTCCTGTTGCGCCCAGTATTGAGTACGTTGCGATAAATGCTGTTAGTTCCCCTGTCTACTACCAACATAGCCGGATTCGGCAGCCGTAAAAGCACCGTAGGGGCCCGAGTCAGGATGTTCACGGGTGCGCATCCAAATGTGGTACCAACTCGTTTCAGGGGCACGGAAATGGTACCTGCATATACTATTTTCTGCCTGCAAGCCATCCCACTACGTCTTTCGCGCTGCTGTCGGGAGGGAAAACAGGGTACCAGACTTTGACGATGACTGCGTCTTCGATCGCGAGGGCGCATCTCTTGATCAGTGTCTTATCTTGCCATTTGAAAGTGGGTAGTTTCAGGGCATTGGCAAAGTGTAGGTTCTCGTCCGAAAGCAGTTCGTAGGGTAAATGCAGCCGGCCCTTGGCCTCTTTTTGGTAGGCAGTGTCCTGAGTCGACAATCCAAATACACGCTGTGCGCCGAGGTCGCGTAGTTTGGCCATCTCGTCGCGGAAGCTGCACGCCTGAGGTGTGCAGCCTCGTGCTCCTGGTATGGAGTTCCAATCTTCAGTGATTGTTTCACCAGGCGCACCGGTACGCGGATAGCAGAAGACGATTGTCAGGCCCGGATAAATTGAGACATCAAGCCAGTCTCCTGACGTTGCGGACAAGGATACGGAAGGTATCTGTGTCCCGCTCAAGTGCGAACACGCGCCGTCATCCTGAGGGACAGGTAGGTCCGAAGGGAAGGATGTGTCTGTGCTCGTCAGCACTCGGTCTTGTGAGTATCTGTGCCACTAACGAGCCATGTTAGCCGCCGGCCGTCGGTACCGAAGTGTCGTCAAGTTACTCTTGCCTGGCTCATGCGCTACTCACAACGTGCGCTTCGGTCGCCGTCAAGTTGGTGCGTAGGGGACTGTCTATGAGTTGGTAGAGGGTTGACCCTGATGCCCTGAATCGACCTTGCACGAGCGGGGTTCGCAATGACTTTTCAACAAAATCGCGACGATCCAAGGTCTAAAATCAGATCGCTGTGAGAAATCGTGATACGATTAAGCCAGCCTTGAGTTTTTGCTTTGCTGTCTGATGTGGATGTATGGTGGTGGTGTTGTCGGCAATGGCAGACAGTGACTGGTGGTGAGAAGGGTCGGTGGCGGGGCGAAGGCTTGAAAAGCATTGAACAAAGGTTCAGGTCTACTGCAATATATTGCTTTGCTGTCAGAACTACTGGTTGGTACTGCACTAACAGACCGCGGGGTAAGAGGCCAATGTCACCGGATTGGAGCGTCCCGCGTATGTTTGCTTTGGGATCTGCCAAACTAGAGCATGTGCTTAGTTGATGTTTGGTAGGTGGCGGTTACGCGCGGAGGGTAGCCGCGTCCCGCGTCCCGATTCCCTTATTCTGGCATCACGAGAATTCATAGCAGAGGTTTATAGTTGCGACTGCACATGTGAGGGCGGAAGTTTCCATGCAGAGGTGAGCGAAGACAATTGTTCGGTCCCTGGATCAAAGCC